AAAGGAGAGAGTATGCCAGTAATGACAGAAGCATTATCTGTACCCATTAAAAGCAAGAGTAGTAGTACACTGGCTCACCACTGGGGTAAAGACTAGAGAACCACAGCAACAAATCTGATGCTGAAGATACCCCAGAACTCTACTGAATCATGAAAGACTTTGTAGTACCTGAATGACAACGCCACCTTCATAATATCTGACCGTGGGATAGGTGAAATAATTATCTTCCTTCACTCTACATCCTTTGGGGGGACTCGGGGAGTGTATTAATCCCATTAAGGTGACATACCATATTCCTTATAACCTGAAAAATATAGCAGACTTGGGGGATTAAAAAAAAAAAGACAGATACTAGAATGAAGGACTGGAGGCTAGTTGTGAAAAACTGGATAATCCAGGTCCTTTTTTTCTCTGCACACATCAATAAGAAATACCCATCATATTGTGTAAATGGAAAACAGCAGGACATCTCTAGAGCATGCAAGTTCCCACAATGTCCCATTATGTAAACTGATGACTAGGAAGATTATAGGAAGAAATGAAAATATTATTATTAGCCTTATATTTTTATGAACCAAAGATATTAAATCCTATCCCTTGTGTCATCAAGAGTTTCCCCAGTCAAATCACAAAAGTCAGTATAACTTGCTGAACACCCTACTCAAAAACTTCATTCGCAGAATTACACAAGTTGAAACAAAATTCTAGAACTTAGTCTTTAAACAAAGTTCAGTTACTAGTGTGACAAAATATGTACTATATGAATAAAATACTTAGATTAAATAAACTCTAATTTTTTACTAATGTATTTATTTTTAGAGAGAGTGGGAAGGAAGGGAGAAAGAAAGGGAGAGAAAAATCAATAGGATGCCTCTCTTGCATGCCTGGACCAGGAACGAAACACACAACTTAGGCATGTGCCCTGACTGGGAACTGAATCAGAACAAAATCTTAATTATAAACGAACATTGTGTGGCTAAAAAGTTAAAATAAGTATTAAATAAATATAAGAATTGAAACAATCAAATTATGTTCTTTCCAAGAACTGAAAAGCAGTTCAGTGCCTTGTCTTGATAATAAACAGCTGTTTATTTCTCACCCAATTCTACCTGGCCAGAAACATGCTCTACCTAGGATAGCCTGTAAGGGAAGGGGAGGTGGAATGAATGTAAAACCTTTAAAATGGAGATGCTTATACAAGAGAGTAAAACCAAGTAATATATAATTTACACAAATAAGAATATTAATCCTAAAATAGGACTTCTCCTCCCAGATCTTCTTCCCAGTTTGTGTTTTTCTTCCTTTTACAAATATTCAAAATGCCCTTAAAGAAAGTACAGGAACACCTTGGAGATAGTCTGGGTTCGGTTCCAGGCCACCACAATAAAGCAAATTATCACAATAAAGCAAGTCACACAAATTTTTTGGTTTGCAAGTGCGTATAAAAGTTATGTTTATACAGTGGTCTATTACTCGTACAACAGCATTGTGTCTAAAACAAAATGAACATACTTTAATAAAAAAATACATTATTGCTAAAAATACCATCTACTGAGCCTTTAACAAATCATAATATTTTGCTAGAGGATTCCTGCCTTCAAACTGTTTAAAAAAAAAAAAAACCCCACAGTATCTGCTAAGCATAATACAAGGTATGCCAGTACTATTTAAATATACAAAAGGCCAAACTAACAAAGCAATGAAACTTCCCTCCCCCACCCCAAAATATCCTATGTGAACCACAAAGTAAAAAGGCATAGCAGTTCTGGTCAAATGGGACCCTCTGCAAAACCCCAGGATTTCTTACATAATCAAATCTGAATGGCATTCAACCAAGAATCCATGAAGCATTAAAAAAAAAAAATGAAAGAAATATGATATGAGAAAACTTTTTCAGTTACATTGCCACCACTTCCCCTTCAAGATAACCACTCTCCCCCTCCCCACCCCCCAAAATTAGTCTGAGCAGGGATTAAAAAAAAAACAAAAAAGTTCAATTCCTTCTACAATACAGTTTCAAACCAATCTTTTAACAACAGGCTAAGTGTTGCAATTTAAACTTCACATCATCCATGAAAATCTGTATGAATCAGTAAGACACACTTTGCTCTATAAACATACAAACACTAAATCTATCCCCTCTGAATAGCTTTTTTTCCATTGTGAGAAAGTCTGGAAAGTAAAAACTAAGTAAAACAACAACATATACATGTACTTTTTAACCTAAGGAACAGATTTCTGTAATCCTGAACCAAACAAGCCAATTGCTTAAAAAAACTTTTTCAAATAAGAGAATCAGTGAAATTAGGAAACTGACTAGACACTTGATAATATTTATGAAATCATTATTAATATTCCTTAGGCTTGATGGTGGCACTGTGGTTGTGTTTTATGTTCTATGTTCTGTTTCTCCTTTTTTCCCCTCAAGAATTATCTTTCAGATACACCTGAAGGATTTACACATTAAAGGACTCTGAGTTGCTTTAAAATATCCAACAGGTGGATGAAACAGGATTAGTCATGATAACAATGGTTGAAGCTAGTAATTAGTACATGAATTCATGCTTCTTATACACATCTATTTTTTTATACATTTAAAGGAGAGAAGTATCCTACACATCAAAACATCCTGTCAAACGTAGAGAAATTTTATTCCCTCTAAATCATCTAGAATTTTGCCTTTTTTTTTTTTTTTTTTTTTTTTTTTACCTATCTGGTTTGACTAACAATTAAGTTTTATTCTTCAAACCAATAAACTTCCTCCAGGGGACCTGTAACTGAAATATAAGACTCACCTTGGTATCTTTCAATTCCACTCATCAGCTAGATGAGTGCCAGGTGAGGAAAACAATCTTGGCTTCCAACCTATAATTAGTGATCTTATTTTAACTTCAAGAGCACACATCCGTTTTGAATCAGAATGCTGAACTATCATGGGTTGTTTTCTTGTTTTCATTTACTTAACTCTTCCCCCTAGTATTTGAACTAAGCTTAGTGAGAGGTATACAGAGATGAAAAGTAGCAGATGTTTGTTGTTAGTTCCCACTTACTATAAACTTTCCAATGAGAAGAGTAGAAGACTCAATCGAATGACACAGAAAAGCTACCAAACTCTTGGGGTCTGTAACTCTACATACACCCTTACACTCCCTCCTCGTAAAAGCGTTTTAAGTGATGAGAAAGGAATGACCCCGGATTGGTTTGTTTCATCTCCTCCTCCTTTCTTAGGGGAGGTGCTAGAGAGCAAAGAAATCACCAAAAAACTGGCCGGAAGAAGGAAAGCGAAAAGCATGGAGTCTGGACAATCAGCCCTTAAATAACTCAGAACTGTACCCAAATTAGATAAAATTAAAAGGGAGTCAACTGTTAAACACCTCCAACGTAAATGAGGCTTCAAAGTGGAAAAAGCTGGCCGTAGGAACAGCTGATTCGAACTCCCTTCTTTCTCCAAGTATTCACAGGTACAAAGGCGTAATGAGTACTCTTCGTGACCCTCACCTAAACTTGAGCCACAAAACCTCACTCGCCTGGACCACGCCGGGCGCTCCACAACCGCTGCCCCACTTTCCAGACCGGAAACCCCTCTTTTCCTGGCCGGGCGAGGGGTAGCGGTGGGACTGAGCCTTGGCTGAGAGAACCCGCCCGCCGCCGAGGCCCTCCGCGCCTGCCCCGCACTGGGGTCTCGGACCCGCGGCACCCACTCAGGGCCCAGGTCCGGTGCCCTGAAAGGCCAGTCTCACGCCTCGACCCTGGGTCTACCCCGCGCCTGCGGGACCCGCGAGACCCCTGAGCCGCGCCGGCCAGCGCCAACCAGACCCAGCCACTGGCTTACCTGTCTTCGCTCTTGTTTTTCTGCTTCTTCCCCATCGCGTGATAGCGGCGCTCGTGGTTCCAACCTCTCTACTCGGTTTCTCACAGATCCACTCCTCCCGTCCGACTTTGGTCTCGGTTCGGCTACGTTCCCCTCCCCACTGCCGCCTCTCGCACCCAGCTCTCCACAGACCCGCGCACTGAGACAGGGCACATATGGTGTGAGCTCTCAGCGCGCAAGCGCATCGTCCCTCCGCTTTAGCGTGGGGACGCAGGGCGCAGCTCATCGAGAGCTGTCCTTCGGGTAGAGCGTCTCCACTTCACCCGCCAGACGGGAGTGCGAGCGCCCCCTTCCCTCAAGTGCCCGCCGTGCATCGTCGCCAGAGCGGTTTCCAGGTTCTAGAACCCAAAGGCTGACAATGAGGCTGAAAATTCCCTACGTCGGCCTCGCTTGGAGTGGAACGCAGGTGTGGAGGATTGGAGCTCGGTGAGAAGTAGACCTTTCACTGGGCTTCCCTTCCACCTCTGTATTCTCAGCTGTCCGAAGTTCAGTAAAGGATCACAGTGAACGAAAGATAAGCGCTGTGTTGTTCCCAAGGGAGATAAATCCAGGACAAAATTGGGTGTCTCAGTAACGTCCATGAATTAGGAAGTACGTACAATCACTAAAAATAAAAAATAAAAATAAAACAAGGACCCACCCATCAAGTCCCCAAAACAGGTCGTAATGTTCCTGAGGAAATTTATAAAAATTTATGTTAGGAAAGTCAAGAGGGAACCTACGAGGATGGTGAAAATGTGCCTTATCGGGATCTGGAAGGTGACATTGCCGGTGTTAACTACGTAAAAACTAATCATGCTGTATGTTACGAGTAAACTTTTTCCAAAGGTTCAATAGGATGGAAAAGAAGTTGGAATGTCACTCCTTTGAGAGAACGTGGCTATCTGATTTCTGATATTATAACATTGTGTGTACTTAAGTTCAGAGCCTAAGAAAGTTGGACGCCAGCTGAGCACTAAGAAACTACAACTCCCAGCATACTTTGCTCCCGCGCCCTCTGGACAGTTTAAACCCCAGACGGGAAACCCCGGTTCCGAGCGCCTGTCTAGGAGGTGCACGCATATAGGCTCTCGCGGCACGCACGCCCTCCTTTTGCATCACTTCCTTGGGCGTAGCACGCTGTAAAGCGTCAGGGCCTTAGCCAATCTGGAGGCGAAAGTGACGGCTGGTTAGTAGCCACTAGCGGCTGCTGCGAAGCTGAAGCCTGAGTAAACTGTTCCGGAGCCGCTCGTCCGTCCTTTCTCAGGTGTCACCGAGAGCTCAGGTGAGGCAGAGATGGTATGAAAAACACGGGCACCATGTTCCGATGTTAACGTCCGACCAGGGCGGTGGAAGGGCGCGGCCCAGATGCCGGTGACAGTACTACCGAGGGGGCTTTGGAGCATGGGCCCCGGGAGGCTATGAAGTTTGGGCCACCTGAACTCTGCCCTCATCTGTCCCCGGGGGCTTAAGGAGTGACTGGATACTTTTGGGAGGGTACCTTGGTAAGGTAGTGTTCACAATTAAGGAGGAGGCCTCTTGGTTGTTTGGGCGGGTGCGCGGGGCTTAGGGGTGGTAAAGGAAATGGTTAGGTAATCTGAGGGCAGGTCCTTTCCCACCGTTCGAATTGAACTGAAAAATGAAAGAATCGAAGTTATGAGGCCCTGGCTGGCGTGGCTCAGTTGGTTGGAGCGCCGTCCTGTACACCACAAAGTTGGAGTTCCATTCCCTTAGTTGTGGGTTCAATCCCTGGCAGGTGCGTATGAGAAGCAACCAACCGCTGTTTCTCTGTCACATCTGTGTTTCTCTTTTCTCTTTAAAATCAATGATCATATTTTTAATATTTTTAAAAAAGAGAAAAGTTAGCCCTGGCCAGTGTAGCTCCATTGGTTGGAGCGTCGCCTGTGGACCAAAAGGTCGGGGCTTCGATTCCCCGTCGGAGCACATATCCAGGTTGCGAGTGTGATCCCTGGTTGGAGCCCAAGCACATAGGCAACCAATCATGTCTCTGTCTCTGTCTCCACCACCCCCTCCGCCTCCACCCCTCTAAAAAGCCATGGGGAAGAAATGTACTTGGGTGAGGATTAAGAAAGAGAGAGAAGTTAACAAGATCTCTAAACCATCATTTTTTTCCCTTTTGAATGTGGTGAACACAACCACCTGCCCCCAGAGCAAGTCTTGTTAATCGCTTCTGCTCCAGATTATCCCAGCATTAAATTCTAAGCTCATCCTATAAAACTCCAGGCATAAGCATCTCTATGCCCCTGGTAAGAACAGGTTCTGACATGCAAGTCAGGGTACAGTACCCAATTTTATGCTTCTTGCAGCATCTACTGAAGATCACAGTCTTACTGACATTTTTCTTGGGAGGTAGGGAGTGTGAAATTCTTTTACTGTATTTGAAATTCAGCCCCTTTAAAATTTTATAGCATTTATGAGGAACTTAAAATTTGTTCATTCAAAGTTAACAAATATTTTTTGATCATCTGCTGTGCCCTAGGTATTGCTAGCTCTAGAGATAACAAAGGTGAAGTATGCATTTCAACTGCGTTTCCTTTGAAGAAAAAGGAATCAGAAGTGAAGTTTGCAGGAAGACTATATCTCTTCAATCCAACAGGTGTAGAGGAGGGTCTGTGTGTGCCTAGCTATGTGTCAGAAGCGGGTGGATCAGTTCACAGTTTGTTCAGATTTTTATTTTATTGTTTAAGATTTTATTTGTTTATTTTTAGAGAGAGGAGAAGGGAGAAAGAGGGAGAGAAACATCAATGTGTGGTTGCCTCTCATGCGCCCTCTACTGGGGACCTGGCCCACAACCCAGGCATGTGCCCTCACAGGGATTCTAACTGGTGACCCTTTGGTTCACAGGCCAGCACTCAGTCCACTGAGCCACACCAGCCAGGGCCAGATTTTTAAAAGTGCTTTGTTAGTATTTGCAAATGTATCATAATTAGTTGAGATGCCAACAGCCTCGTGTTTTGATAGGCAAATTATAAATCGTATTTCTGTAGTAGTAATCCAGGAGTACATATAAATATTACCACCTGATGGTATAAATTCCTATCTTACATAGAGGAGTGATGGAAAAAATCAATATTCTTAATATTTAGAGTGTTAAATTGTTTTACATCAATGTTAAGAACACTGAGTGTCAGTAAATCAATACCAATATCAATCTTGTGGCCTCATAGATTTTGTTAGGTGATGGGGGAACAGAGATGGAAACTAAAGCTTAGGGAACACTAGGCACTATTCTTTACATAAACTGTAATAGGCTGTTTTACGAGTTAAAAAAATGAAAGTCATTTAGGCAGAGACCATGAAAAATGTGTCTTGCTCAGCTTTGCTCTGTGTTGAAGCAAAGTTTGGTATCTATGTGTATGTATAAAACCTCACAACAGTTAAATGTTACCATTGTTTGGTCATTTCTGTTTTGCTCCCCTCTTCCTGTGGTAAAGAACACTGATTATAGGAGTATCAAAAGGTATAACTTCAACTGTTATAACTCCCAACTACTCATTTCTCTCTGGTCTGTTGGTGGTCTTGAAGACTTGTCTTTGCTTTGGTATAGTAAAACATAAATCAGAAGTACCTAGACTTGCTCTAAATAGCTTTTGAATGCTGTCACTACAACATGTTGAAAAATTAAATTTTAAATCTCTTAAATAAAAATTCCTAAGCCTAATGTAAAGTGCTTGGTTGTGAGCAGAACATTTTTTGTGTGTGTTCTGAAGAATGTGATTTGTGGACTACAAATTATGCACTTGCTAGAATTTTTTAAAATAAGAGAGAAACTTTACTTACTGTTCACACTTTTTTCTTTAAAGATTTCATTCATTTGTTTTGAGAGAGAGGGGAAACAAGGGAGAAAGAGAGGGGGAGAAACGTTGATTGATTACATCTTATACACAATCCAACTGAGGACGGAGTCAGCAAACCAGGCATGTGCCCTGTCCAGGAATCTAACCGGCCAGCAACATTTCACTTTTCGGGCCAACACCCAACCAACAAAGCCACACTGGTCAGGGTTTTTATTGTTGTTGTTCTTTTTTAACTTTGTAAACCTTCTACCCAGCAGCAAGGCAGAACTGTGAAGAATGGAAGCTAATGCATCTGTTGACATGTTTTCAGAAGTCCTGGAAAATCAGTTACTTCAGGCTACCAAACTAGTGGAAGAACATTTGGATGCTGAAATTCAGAAACTGGATCAGATTGATGAGGATGAATTGGAACACCTTAAAGAAAAGAGACTTGAGGCACTAAGGAAAGCTCAGCAGCAGAAACAAGTAACCTCTCTGCCCTGCTTTCTGAAATTGCTTTAACAGTATGCGCCTAACAACTTAAATATACACATGTCAATAGTTACATTGTAGTCCTCATTTTTAAGGGTTTTTGACCTCGGAGTACCTATCATGATTAAAAATTTGGCTGGAAAAAAATTAGTTTTGAAGACATACTCGAAATTAGCCTGATTAATGTATTAAGCCACAGACAAGTAAAAGAAATACATGCCCAGGATCATTTTCTGAGCTCAAATTTTTGTGGTTGAAGTGAACTAGGAAAGCACTGGCAGCAACAGGAGGTAGTGGTTTCCCTCTCGGGTAGTAGTAAAGCCTATCATAAGCTAGCTGTGCTCAAAGCAAATGAGAGAAGATTTAAGTACACTACTAATTGCTAATGCACAACTAAAAAAAAAAAAGTTGTCATACCTAGAATATTTTTGTAGAAGTATGAATCTACATGATTTGCAATGAGGAGCATATATCAATATCTTAAATGAAGTTGTCAGCAGTTAAAGACAGTAATCTGAGTATTTATAATTAAAAATCAATTGAAGCAGGCAGCTTTTAGGGCTTTTTTATGATTAATATAAATATCAATTTAAAGTGAATTTGTCATGGAGTAACTCAGAGGATCTTATTTTAGAGTTTTCATTCCATTTTAATAGATGTTTTTCATAAAAATGTTTCCTGAGGAAGTAGGCAAGAAGGCTTAAAGGTTTTTAAAGCTATTTGAAAGAGTAATATAGATTGTATAATAGTTTTGATTTGCTAATCTACAAAGGTATTGGGGAAACCAATGAACTGTGACATAAGCACTTAATAGGCCTATATTAATCAATATTCCTCAGTCAGCCAGGCACCCTGCTACTGTTACGGCAGCTAGAGATGTGGGGCTTAGGTAGAGAGCGGAAGAACAAGGTGAAAAAGAGGAGGAGTCCACAAGAGGCTGGGGTGATAACCCCTAAGTGAGAGAACCAGGTACTGCCCATTTGCCATGCATCAGGTAGGCTCAACCTACTTGGTTCCCATCCTGCTTGATCCCACTCAGCACATACCTGTGGAGCATGTGCTCTGTGAAAGGAAATGTACTTAAGAACACATTTATTCTTGGGCGTGTTGAGTGTCTTGGGAGAGTTGCTGGGCATTGGTGGAAGTTCGGAGTAGGCTTGCCTCCCTCTAAGAAACAGGCAGGTTCAGGTCTTCAGCGTATTGGTTAAACACATGGGAATAAGTAATGGAAAGAAATGGTAGCTGTTTAAAAAAAAAAAAAAATTACTGGATTTTAAATGCACATGTCACGTGTCAAGAAATGTCACATTATTAAGGAATTGCTATTTGAGAGTTTAAACTGTTTATAGGACCATTACCAAAGAAATGTCACATAAAGAGAAGATATCTGGGCCTTCTGTGAGTGTCAGCTCAGTGTGAGCTGATGTAGAGTGGATACCAAAACTACTGTGTCTGGGCTGTGTTAGTTTAAGTGCAGAGGAGGAAAGGGAGTGGCGTTCCCACCCCTTTCTAGTTGGACCTTGTAGAAGGCTGCATTCAGACCTCTGCCACATTTTAAAAGAACATGGAGGAATTAGACTGTATTCAGAGGACAACCAGAAAAGAAAAAGTCTAGATATCATTTCATACAAGAAACAGTCAAAAGGAAATGGAAATTTTAGTGTGGAGAGGGGAGGACATAGGCTAGGTAAGATATTTGAAGGGGTAATGTGTGAAAGGAAGATTAGAACTTTTGTCTCTGATCTTAGGTTCAAGCTAGGATCCATAGGCCAAAGTTAGAGATACTGTACTTCAGTGTGAGACCTTTCCAAAAGTTAGAGATTACATGTACAAATGCTGTTTAAGCACATACGTCAGACACTGTTTTACTTAACTTCATGTTGAATCTCTTATTTTCACAACTACACAGTGAGATAAATGCTTCATGATCTGTACAGATGAGGAAATTAGGACTCAGGAAGGTTATTAGAATTCATAGTCTAAGGAGTAGTAGAACAATTATTCAAACCCATGCCTTCTACTTGCAAGGCCAGTGCCCGTTTTTTGTTAAAACTAGCAGCCTGAAAAAGGAAACACATTTCCAGTTGTAATGAAAAGTTTCTTGCCACAGGAAAGTTGCAAGAGGCTGAAATGTCTGTCAGGTGTGGTTGATAAGTTCGTTTGGGGAGTTGAATTACATGACTTGTGAGACCTTTATTGTTTCCGGGCACTGTTAGTAGACAACTTTTTCTTCTAGGATGCTACCCATTGGTGGACAGTGTAAAAGAGGTTCCTGCCTCTCCAAGGTAATCATGAAGAGTAAGCAGGCCCCCTAAGCTTCAGAGCTGCAGTAAGCCGCCACCACCACCCTCTGTCCCCATCCCCCAAAACTGGATTTACCTCATGAGCATTATTTATGAAATCTTTTTAGTAATTTGAATCAAGTGCTTCTGATTTTAGTAGTGTGAGTGCAGAGAAATTAAATGGGCTTTACATTCTAAGTATCTTGAGTCTATACATTTTTGTTTTCAGAGTTCTAAGAAAACATACATATTCTAAGTTACCAAGATAGATAACTAAAATATGAGCCATGCTGTGGAGATAGCCACAGCCCACAGACTATTTTTGCATTGACACTAGAAAATAGGAAAGTGAATCTTTCCCTACAGGTAAAATCAACTTCATCACACAATACAGAGTTGGGCAAAAGTAGGTTTACAGTTGTTCATATGGAAAATAATACAATAATTAATACAAACATAAACTGTGTCACACGCCTACAACTGGAAACCTCCTTTTGCCCCACCCTATATTATGTTGTTTGGATGCAAACTAACTGGTACTGAAAGAGATTTTTTCAAATGTGTAATATTTCCCTTTTCTTCATATTAGGAATGGCTTGCGAAAGGACATGGGGAATACAGAGAAATCCCTAGCGAAAGAGACTTTTTTCAAGAAGTCAAAGAGAGTAAAAAAGTGGTTTGCCATTTCTACAGAGACTCCACATTCAGGTAACTTTGTTTCCTTCAGTGACTTTTTTTAAACAGGAGAGGTCTCTGAATGGAAATATACTGACAGAGAAATTAAGAAAAATAAAAGAAACTACTTCCTAAATTGCTTCTTTGTATTAAAAGTCTGTACATTAAAGTTAAACAATGGTTATTTTAAAGATTAACTTAAAAACCAGTGACATACCAAAGTATAAATGAACATTATTAAAAATCAGGAAAATTTCTATATAAATGACTGTTTTCTGAATTATATTTATACTAACTTTAAAAACATCTTAGAAGTGTACACTTAAATTTTTTATCAGTTCAACGAGAATTGTTTCTACTTTTTTTTCTTTACCCACTATTATGATAGGGAGTGCATAGGGAGACAGTGACTTGACCGAGCCTTTCGCCAGAAGTATAGTTGGAACTGCCAGGCTTGGCTGGAAGGAGGAGAAGGTGATCTCTCTTAAACCAACCTAAGTCTGCAAACCTCTATGGAGGCAGATCCCTTATAAAATGAAAATATCTCCAGAAGAAGTTGTATCTTAAACCAGTGGATTCAAATCTTTCTCTTTTTTAAGCCCCAAAATTTGATTAGTTGCCAACATTTAAAAATTGAGAAATATTTTATTTTTTTAAAAGTTAGATTTCAGAATATTTATAAAAATCAGCAAACTTAATTATAACCAACCTAGATTTAGTATGAAAGCAATTTGCTGACGCTGAGTGGGGCTGCCTTCCTTAGACCGTCATGCAGTGCAGTGTTGTGTCTTTATCATTCACTGTCACATTAGCCTTGCCGTCTCTCATTTCCATAGCTTGTCTGGCCCCTGTCTCAGGTTCACCAAGTTGATTATTGGGTAACACCTTTCATGGATTGATTGCCCAAGACTTACTGACTAAAAAAATAAAAATGAAAAAAATATTGAGATGGTGAAATCCCTTCCAAAGGAAAGAGGGAAAAAGTATTGGGAAGGTAAAGAATATCAAGAAAACCCTCTACTGTTGTGGCACACTGGCATCTTCCATTGGCAAACATATTCCTCAAGTTGCCAAACTGACATATATGATGAGGTGATATGTTGATATATCAGTCTGTAAGATTGATGTGATATGTTGTTCACTTGTTTATTAGATGTCTTTACCCACTATCTTGTTAGTTTTGTGAAGGCACAAAGTTTGCGTGTATTGTGGCCCACTGTGCTTTGGATTCCTAGCTCTAGAGCAGCAATGGCTGACACATAGTAGGTGCTCAGTAAATATGTTTGATGGATATATAAACAGTGCAGCACCAGAAGTACTAACCTTCAAACAAACTGAATAATCAAAATTTAAATCATTAGTTTATGAATATTAATATATATAAAATCAAAGTTTCTAGCACATAGTAGGCTGCATACATACTTTCATGTGTAAGATCCTGGAAATTCACAGTGACCCTTTGAGGTGAGTAGGTATATGCTAGAGATTAAGTGACTCACCTAATGTCACTCAGGTACTAAATAATAAGTTTTAAGCCTGATGCCATTTTAACTGTATCATGACTGCTGCTTCTGTATTTTTAAAAAATGGCTTAATTACATAGCCTTATTTAAGATAGGTTCCAGCTCTTTCAAGGGCAGAGTCTTCAGGCATTTAGAGTGGTCCGGTGTTGGACATACTGGAGGTGGTTTTACAATACAGACTTTAACAAAACTAGGCTGTCCCAAACACCTGGTAATAGAATTGTTTACCTTTATACCTAGAAGGTTTGGAAAGCACCAAAATCTGCATGAGGCATGTGCCCAGGCTGACTTTGCAAAGTCTAAGCTATGAAATCTTAAAGTTCTAATGAGGTTGTCTAAAATGAAAAAACATGTTGATGTCTGCAGGGCCTATGGTGAATTCACATGTGCTAAATGTGTCCATGACTGGATCAAGCATGCCTTCCTCACTGAGGAGCAGAAAATCATGAAAGTATTGAAGGCACAGCACAGAGTCAGAAAGCTAAATTTAAAAATGAAGTTTTTTGAGTAATAAAAACAATTAAAAGGCAAAAAATATATAAAATAAAATAGGTTCCATATTGCTCCAATAAAACCATGGAGTTGATTTATATATGAATGTTCAAGAACATATTTCTCATATAACAGTTCATTTATCATTTCTTTTGAGTTTCATTCAAACACTGTTTAATAATTTGTCCTTTCCTACCATTTTCACTGAATTCTCATTGCTTCACTTCAGGGTGATAAATGAAAAGATACATTCAGAGGGAAAGTGATGAGGCATTAAATTTATAAGAAACTCACTGGACCTAAATCTAATTGAGGAAAAACTACAATCAAGTAGCGCCCCAAAAGCCTAGGTGTCCAAAGCAGCGATCTCAACTTTACTGGGCATGAGCATCATCTGTGTTTCCAAGCTACACTCCCAGGGAATTTTTTTGATTCATCTGTATATTTTAAAAGTGGATGTAATGAATACTGATGGTTAAGAGCTATTGCTCAAAAAGATTATTACAATAGCCTGTTTCAGACACACTAGAGGATTGACCAGTTTAAATATGTTCTACTTTAAAGAAATTGTCAGTTCCATTTTCTTCTTCAGTAGAAGATGGCTTAGTGAAAGTTACTTCTAGTGTTTTTCATTTTGTAAAACAGTAATGACCATATTTACAGCCCTTAACCTTATATGCTTCTTGCTGACAGAGTTGCACAGCTAGAAGAGTTTCCTCTCAGTGACACCAAACAGTCCTTCCTAATGATTTCCAAATATGGCACCACATGTACATTGCTAATTCTGAGAAGTCTCTTCTGAGTTAATCAGGTCAGATTTGTCTCCCTTCAAGCTCCCTGCATGAGATACCGGGAAACATGCATAAGATTAATGATAATTTTTGTTACCATGAACATGACAGCAATGTGAAGCACTTACTATTTGAGGCATATATTGAATGTTTTGTTTTTTATAAATATCATTACAGCAAATCAGACTTTCTAGATACAGATTGTTTGTCTACCTCTCACAGGTAGCTATCTATGAAATGGAAATGAGGTCACCTGATACAAGCACCAGTTGGCTACAGAATTATGAAACTCAAACAAGATAAACTATAAAATTACATGTACCTTAGTTTTCCCAAAAGCAGCCACAGGTAACCTCTGAAAGTGGTTTGCTATTCACTTGACCCAGAGACCCCCACAAAATCATGCATATCAAGAAGTTCAAATCTTGGTGTTCATTTTAAGAACATTCATGAAACTACCCAGGTCATCAAAGGTATGCATATTCAAAAAACCACAGAGCATCTGAAGGATGTCACTTTACAGAAGCAATGTGTGTCATTTGTCATTACAACAGTGGAGTTGGTTGGTGTGCCTAGGCCGAACAGTGGGGCTGGACATGGCTGGTGGCCAAAAGAGTGCTGAATTTTTTGCTGCGTATTTTGCTTAAAAATACAGAGAGTAATGCTGAACTTAAGGATTTAGATGTAGATTTTCTGGTCATTGAGCACATCCAGATGAATAAAGCTCCCAAGATGCGGGATAGAACTTAAAGCAGAGCTCATGAGTGGATTAACCCATACATGAGCCATCCCTGCCACACTGAGAGGATCTGTACTGAAAAACATCAGATTGTTCCTAAACTAGGAGAGGAGGTTGCACAGAAGGAAAAGATATCCCAGAAGAAACTGAAGAAACAAAAACTTACGGCCCAGCTGTAATAAATAAAATTAAATGTACCTTAATGATACTTATTTTTAAAAAGAGAAGATATCCATTGTTTTAGCTTTTGATTTTCTTTATTTGTTATTTACAGGTGTAAAATATTAGACAGACATTTGGTGATACTGTCCAAGAAACATCTGGAGACCAAATTTTTGAAGCTGAATGTGGAAAAGGCACCTTTCCTTTGTGAGAGACTAAGGATCAAAGTCATTCCCACACTAGCACTTGTAAAAGATGGAAAAACACAAGATTACGTCGTTGGATTTACTGACCTAGGAAATACAGATGACTTTACCACAGAAACATTAGAATGGAGGCTTGGTTGTTCTGATATTCTTAATTACAGGTAACTTTGAACAAAACAATAGACTTATTTTAATTCACATTTTCAGTGATATTTTTAGAGTAGTTTTTTTTGTTGTTAACATTTATTTTATGGAATTAAGATCTTTTGGCTGAGATGTAGAAAAACTTTAACAAAGGAAAAGCATAGTATTTCTTAAATTGTGCATTATGAGCATAATCTTACAGCAAAAATCAGAGTTATGGGTAAAAGTGAGTCTTAGAGTACCCCTAGCTGTAAGTTTCAACCTAATGGATCCTCTTGAATCTAATTCTGCATAATCTGGAAACCCAAAATGACACCCCAGAATTGACTCTCCCCTGATTTAAACTGGATTACTCAAATTGATAATGACTTACTTTCAAACATTAGATTTTTAATGTTTACTCCTGCCTCATTTGAAGAATCTGATAAAATGTATAGAATCTCATTTCTATGCCTAGCTTAAATTACTAGGGGGATGAGTCTCAGTTTGAAAACCATCTAAATTCCAACTTCCATTTTCCATTCATTTCTTTGTCCATATCTTAGGACAAATGATTTATCTAATTCTACAAATTAGAGCATATCATCTTGTCCTTTTTGGAGTTTTAGGTTTTATATTTTTAATATTAAATAAAATTAATATTTATTAAGTAATTATTTTGAAATGATTTCAAACATTAAACAGTTGGAAATAATACAAAGAATGCTCATATATGCTTCACCCATATTTCCTAATTTTAAGCATTTTATATTTGCTTTATCTTAAATTTTTTTTCAGAACCATTTGAGTGTAAATTGTAGGTGTATTAAACCTTTACTCCTAAATATTTTTGTGTGTATTTCCTAAAAACAAGGACATTTCCTTATCTAACCACGGTACAATTATTAAACCAGGAAATTTTTGTAATTTACAGACCTCATTCAAATTCTATTATTGTTCCAGTAATGCCCTCCATGTTACAAAAAAAAAAAAATCATTGCATGTAGTTAATGTGTCTTTAGTTTCCCTTAAACTGTCACAGCCTGTTAACCTTCCTTTGTTTTTCAATACTTTGACATTTTTGAAGAGTACATGCTAGTTATTTTACAGAGCATTCCCCCAACTTGGGTTTGTCTATTGTTTCAAGTTCAGACTCATACTATACATTTTTTCACAGGTATGTTACGGAAACAACGTATTCTTCCTTCTTAATTAGTGCACTGTATCAAGAGGCATATGATGGTGTGTCTCATTTTTGGTGGGAATAACTGAGATCTGTGTAATCAGCTGTCTGCCAGGCCAAATGGTGACTTAAGGAACTTTTCCATGTCTCACAATAATTTTATTTAGTTAGTTATGTTAGAATGGGCTGTAGATTATTTTATTCAATGGGTTATATTCTGTTGCCATTATTATTTACTTTGAAGTTCAAATTGCCCCAGGTTTGGCCAGTGAGAGCCCCTTTCATATTGTCTTCTGTAGTCTTTAGTCATGTCCCCACAATTGTCTGAGCACTTTCTTTCTGGTACAAATGAGATGTTTTAGGGACGCTCATGTGGTGCTCTCCCTAGAACTGGCTATTTCTCAAAAGAGCCACGGTTCCTTTCAGTGGCAAATGATACTTCAAAACCAAGATCTAGGTACTGGGTATATTCTCGGATATTTTTGAAAGAAGAAATTTTCATATTTCATTTATTTCTCAGGCATCATTGAAAAGAATTTCATACCAATTCCAGTTAAGAAATTCCATGAATTTTGATGATGTCTGTAGAAATCTAAATATTAAAAGGTGTTAAACAGGACCAAACCAGTCATAACAGGCTATGAAAAATACAGCACATTTTTCTGTGTCATTTTCACAATGAAAAGAATGTAATACAGGTTCAACATAACCAAAACCGATGAGGGGAAAAAAAACTTTGATTTCCTTCTCATCCTTTCAGTCAGAAATTCTGTTGGCCTCCTATGAAATGTTACTCAATACTTAATGCTAAAAAAAGAGAAAATAAAATGTTGATCTAAAACATTTAGTAGTACAAAGTAAGGTTTACCACTATTAACTATCAGTATGAATAATATATTGGATACCTCTTCCCGGATGCCAACATTGTAGAGAAATTTTACTCTATTCCATGTTACAGTGTGGGAAAAAAGATAGATTTTTCTGAAGTTTAGTATACCAACTGTACTAAATCATAAAGAATAAATGCTTTTTAAATTTGCTTTATTTTTAGTGGAAATTTAATGGAGCCACCATTTCAGAGCCAAAAGAAATTTGGAACAAACTTCACAAAGCTGGAAAAGAAAACAATCCGAGGAAAGAAATATGATTCGGACTCTGATGATGATTAGAGAGCAGTTATAATTGTTTGTAAATTGTCTTTATTTCTGCTTACTTTAGAATTAGATGTGTTTTATAAATTCTGTTGATTTTGATACATTGGTCATCTAATGGTCATATTCTAGTTTTATACAGTTGCATCACATTGAAAGACATCTTTAATATTTTCTTGTGGAGCTCATTTAAGTTGTGGAAAACTGCTAAGTTCTTAAATTATCTGGGTAGGGCCTGGATTCTCTTATTTTTATGATTGATTTTATCACTGGATTGGAAATAGAAATTCAATGAACTATTTCAGAACTACTACTCACGCATTATTTACTTTATACCACAGGTCAAGTAACATTTACTGGTGTAACACACTGCACTTCTAAATGATAAAAACTCTTGACTTCTGGAATATATTTACATAACTATTAAAGAACTGCTTATTTATTCTGTGTGCTGTGTGTTGATGTTGAATCAGCTGGTGACAGAAGAAAGCTTTTTCAGGTTGAGAGCATATTGCTTATTTAAAGGATCCTGATTGCTTGTATTTTAAGGCATGCATTCTTAGAAAATCAGGAAGCACACTTAGGATGGGGAGATCCACAGACTCACTGAAAGAACCATAACTCATAAATATTAATTTTTTTAAAAATTAAAGTTTCTGAAATTGTCATAAAAGCATAAAGCAAACAGAAGTATTTATTCAAGAAGATAGTAAATTGTGGTAAGAATAGTGAGTCTGTGTGGCATTAGAGCCTTGACTCCCACACCCTTCCTCCAACCTACTCAGCCTATAATTTCTCCCTAGGGGGAGCAGACTGCTCCAATTTCTCTTCTACTCAGTCCCCACTTGCAGCACAGATCTACCCCAGGAATAGTAGACTAAGAATACTGTTTGCTAATCACTATTGCCCCAGTTTACTCAAAACCTCATTGAGATTAACAATTGACTTATAAGATGGGGCAACAGTGACTAGAATGGAGGATCCATGCAAAAAGGTAAGCAGAGAAGACTAGAAATACCATTCACTGCTCTATTTGTAAGACCACAGTTACCACTCCTAGAAAAGCAAGCTACTCTCCCCACCCCTAACCACAGAATGAATAGCACAGAGGCTCTCGTCACTGGGAAAAGCAAACTATAAAAATGGCTTTCATTGGGGTGCGTTCCCTAAAGGGAACACCTTTATGTGGAACAGAGTGAAAGAAGTTTAAGGATTCTGCTATAGACAAAGGAGATTTGGAGTGGAAGTGGGGGGAGGCATAAGAGGAGACTGATAGCTCCAAGAGAGCAATAAGCAAAAGGTGAGAAGTTTGAGCAGAGAATTAGAGTGGCAGCTAAGAGTAGCCCTAAAGTTGAAACAAGACTGAAAGACTAGAAGGGCCTGAACTTAATTGTATCAAACAGTTAAGCAATTTACACCCCAAGGCTTATCAAAAATAGAATGGTTGCTATGTTAGCAATTAGTGGATGTTAACAGAGTGTGATAACAGTAGAAGCAGACCAACTAGAACACAAGGAGATCAGGGAAATGAACAGTAGAAAAGAGCCCTGCTAAAACTACTGTCACTGATTTTGGAGTCAACGTGACAACATGCCATTCAGAAGCTGCAGCATAAGTTACATGTTTGCAGGATAAGTGGACTTAACTGAAATAAGTCCGCTAAACAAATAAGCAAACAAGCCCTTAGGGAAAAGGGAGAAAGAGGCCCCAGTGCTGCTATATTATCTAAAGTGCATATACACAATGGAATACTATGCAGCAGAAAGAAAAAAAGAACTACTAAACTTCATGACAGCATGGATGGAACTGGAGAGCATTAAGCTAAGCGAAATAAGCCAGGGGGCGAAAGACAAATACCATATGATCTCACCTATAAGTGGAACCTAATCAACAATACAAAGATGCAAGGAAAATATGACCAGCAACAATGAAAGGAAAAGAAATCAACAGTGACAAGAGGGAAGGAGGGAGGGGCGGGCAGGGAAAGGGAAGGGAAGGGGCAAGTCAAGGAACATATAGCAAGGACTCATGGACAAAACCAAAGGGGAAGAGCTGAGGGAGGAAAGGAGGGAGGGGGCAAGGGAAAGTGGTGGGGGGTAGGCAGAGACAAATGTATTTGAAAAAATTAATTAAAAAAAATTAAAAAATAAAAATAAAGTGCCTAGTTTGCAACAAAAAATGGTAAGGTCTGCAAAGGAACAGGAAACTGACCCATACCCAAGGGGGGAAAAACAATCAAAAGAAACTGCCTTTAAGTGGGCCCAGATATTGAAAGCACACAAAAGGAACTGTCATAAGTATATTTTTTAAAAACAAACCATGCTGGAGGTAACAAAGATAATATTCCATCAAATAGAGAATATTAATAAAAAATATTTTAAAAGAACAAAATGGAAATCTCTGGTCTTGGAATGTACAATAACTGCAATGAAAAAAATCATTAGAGGTACTTCACAGATTTGAGCTTGCAGTAGAAAGAATCAGAAAAAGTGGGGATTAGGCAATACTGATACTGCCATCCTGAGAACAGGAGGAAGAAAAACAAACAGCTTCCGAGAAATATGAAATGCCTATTTATGTGTAATGGGAATACTGGAAGAAGAGCAGAAGAAAAGCAAGCAGGAAAATTAGGAGAAATAATGTGGGGGACTCTGTCCCCCAGAGTCCTCCCATTCGCCACGGATGAAACAACGAGTCGTTCCAGACACCAATTGCCTGCCAAGGAAAGGGGATGGCGATTCCCTCTAGTGGGGAATGCCCTCGAGCGCCTGTGCTCAATGGCTTTTATTGAGAGGATTACAGGTAGGGGATAGGCAGCAGGAATGTATAGGTAATCCATCTCCATCACCAGCTTAAGTTTACAGAGAATAGATAATTGTTTGAACATGACAATGGCAGGAACACACTGAACTGCTTTGGGACAGAGTTGAGCAAACATTGTGGCGCCAGGTGAGTTCTTAGTCAGGGTCCAGGAATTTTGTAAATTTCTTTCCCAGCTTTGAGCTAGTTATCTGGTATATGATTAACAGATTTTTGAAGGAGAAACAAAGCATGCTTCAAGGAGTATAATTTCCTCCCAGGGGCCCTTAGAGTCATTATCTTGCCTGACTCCAGCATTACTGGTATTCAGGCCAAAACTTATGGGTCCTTTCCCAGGCCCCAGCTTACGTGGGGCTACAGTTCCTGATACCACTCAAAGCAGCCCCCTACAAAATAATGCCTAAAAAGCAAACTCTTAAAGCAGAATGATCCACACCCACAGATGTCAGAATAAAAATGTTGAAAGACAGGACAATATTGAAAACAGAAAACTACTCATATGTATAAGAAATCTCTATTAAGATTAAAAATTGACTCACCAGAAACAGTGAAGCCCTGAAGGTCGTACAAGTAGATCTGTATCAGACTTGGCCAGACTGCAGGGCACAGGGAGGCTCATGTTAGGAGGATTTACAGGAAATGCCCAAGGCAGATGGAGTGAAGCTGCTAGCGTGTCATGTGATGACAGATTTCCCTAACCCCAGGTAGAGACATGGCGGCAGGAGGGGGTCTGCATGTAGTCTGCGTGAGGCTGGCGAGAGTTATGACAGAGGAAAAAGCCCTCCTACTCCATTCTGAGACATGGTGGTAGGGGGCAGTGCTGACTTGTCAGCCTAGCCTGGGAAAAGGTTGGGACTGGCTGGGGAGCTGGACCCTTCCAGAGTGCACAGAAGCTTGCACTAGGAGATATAAACAGAGGGAGGGCAGATGGAGCACCTCCACAAACAGCTTCAGTGATTGGCAGTGGCCTGGGAAGCTGCAGCATGGCGATGGCAGCACCGGTCTGCATGTAGACTCCAGGGAGCCTGAAGCCAGACAGCAGTCCACCTAACAGCCTTATGCTCCCAAGGACACAAAGGGATGGAGTGGGACTTCTGGGCATTATTTTGGGTTTCAGTCTTCTGGGGTTGTCTGTGTGAGATTGGCCTAGACCCACGGAGTCCCCTGTTTCCCAAAATTGCGAAACACTTTAATAAAAACCTCTTTCCTTCCCTACCAACCCTTGACTTATGCCTGTGTTTGGTGGTGGGCAGCTGACCCCATCTTCTGTTTAGTAACAGCTTGGCAACCCAGATGGGACTCTGTGGACTTTAGCCAGGTCCCAGCTGCCTGTGGCAGACTGACCCCAAAAGCACAACTGATGGGATTTCTCAGTCTCAGGGAATTTCCCTACACCTCCGCTCAAGGCATTTGCCTCTGGAAATGCAAGGGTGGTGGAAGGAAACAGATTTGGGGAGGAAAGGGATCCCAAGACTGTGTGAGCCGAACCAGCAAATACAGTGGGGTTTGGGCACTATGCCATTTGGGTCTCTGTAGATCCACTTGTGGTGCTGCTTGGTGGGCCATACCTGCCTATTCTGGTGTAGGCCACATGGACACTGCCAGTCAGCGTGTGGCTGTGGGCACTGCGTCATTTGGGCTCCAGGCAACTTGGCAGGCCATGCCCACCATTTGGGCTGTGTGACACATGGGCGTCATGCCTTTTGGGTTTTATGCAACTTGGCTTCAGGCCATTTGGGCTATGCACTACTTTGATGTTGCACCATTTGGTTTTTTGCACAACTGGGACTTGATGGAGACAGCTCTGGTTCCAGGGACATTGAATTGGGGTCCAAGGGAGACCATTTGAGGTCACAACTGGGATCTGATGGGGACTGTTTGAGCTCTGAATGCCATGAACTGGCATCCAGTGGGGAATACTCAGGGAGCCACAGACAGGGTCTGGGTGAGGACTCTCAGAGTTCTGGGGTGCCACTGAGGAAACAGGAGGGAACTTCTGTGTGGACTCTGTACAAGACTGGTGAGGATAAGTGACAGAGAGAAAAGCCCTCCTACTACCTTCCAGAACATGGTAACAGACAGAGGTGCTGAACTGCCAGTCTAGCCTGGGAAAAGGATGGGATTTGCTAGTTAGCTGGACCTTTCCAGATCACACAAAAGCTTGCGCTGGGAGACTTAAATGGAGGAAGGACAGAGACTCACCCATTCTCTTCCTCTGGAATCCGTGGACAGATCCCCTGCACAAATGGCTGCCGCAGTTGGCAGTGGCCCTGGCCCCCCTGCTCGGGAAGCCTCAATGTGGCCAGTGGTGCTGGCTCCACATCCACACTCCAGGGAGCCTGAAGCCAGACAGCAGTCCATCTAGCAGCCCTGTGCTCCCAAGCACATATAAGGATGGAGTGGGATTTCGGGGTATTGTTTTGGGTTTCAGTCTTTTTGGGTTGTCTGTGTGAGATTGGCCTGGAGTCAGAGTCTCCTGTTTCCCCAAAATTGTGAAACATTTTAATAAAGACCTCTTTTCTTCCCCAACCAGTCTTTGTCTTATGTCTATGTTCAGCAGCTGGCACACAAAAACCACTTTTGTTTGGTAACAAAGGCAATAAAAGAAC